GTTGTACATAAAAGTTAAATGAATATCAACTGTACCAAAATTGAACATTAAACACAAACAAATCCCTACTGAATCAATACAACTGAAATGAACTAAGTCAGTGATCCTTTATTTTGTGTACCTCTAGAGAGAGCTCGCGTCCCTCTCATGGGACCTGTACCTCAATTACTTTTGTGTACTGTACAATGCAAATGGGATGACTCACTTGAGTTTTCTTTGCTGTACTTGGTTCTAGGTGCTAAATGTGTCCCCAGAGCATCCCGCAGCGACGTTGTCGCTCAGACAAGTACAGTGTCTGCGCCTCCTTGAGTCCGGCGATGGTACTCTCCTATCAGAGTCTGCCTTGGAGCAGCTCAACAGTGCTGTGATGTTGAACCCCAACAATATTGCGGCGTGGCATGTGAGGATGAGCTATCGCAGTTATTTTAAGCACCACCGGTCCATCTGGCAATTGTGTTTTGCTTCACTGTTCACATTCATAGAGTAGAACAATTCGAGAGAAATAAGTCAACCAAAGAAAATGTCATGATTTTTGCTTGACTTGTTTTATATTGTGAGAGTCTGGGCAGACTTTAGTAATGCTTATTGACTGCAAAGATGACCGATTATTTTAGGACCTCCATATTGCGCCCACTGAACAAATATGCATTCTGCAGCCTCTCGTGATACGAGCAATTCGCAGTTTCAAGGACCTGCTAGGAAATACAGTATAAACTCTATTTGATATATTGGATTTGAATTTAAGATCTACGTCATGAGCAGTGTAAACTCATAAATGTGATTCTAACGACTTTATCTCCTCTAACAATCACCTACCTAGTGGTTAGCCGCGGTGTACATCAGCCAGGGTCTGCTCGTGCAGGCAGTCATGGTTCTCAGACAGAGTTTGCAGCTCGCCTCCCAGCTCGGCCAGCACAGCAGTCAAGTCGGCAGCCTGCTGCGTCTCAGCCTTCTTGCCCTGAGGCCCAGTATGGTGAGTGCTTGTTTGTCTTTATAACCCATGCGTTGGACAACATGAAGCAGAAGAGATGAAAGACACCCCGGTTGTAGCATCAGACAAGGTCAAATGGAAAGTCCCAACAAGATGAGAAGCTTTGCGATTGTGATTCAAATTGAGAGGATAGTAAATCTCTTATAGGCATACAGCAGATTAAGATTTTCCGGGCAAGAGCAGATTAAAGAAAACAACAGTCTAAACTATGTGAGAAGGTGGTCACATTAGTGTAATAAAAAGGGAACATTTCACCTCAATGATCAGTGTGATGATTTTCCATGTCCATTGTCACCTGTGTGCGTGCTTGTTTTGACTTTTTTCAGGCAGGTGTCCCTGGAAATGACTGGAAGGATCTGGTTCGACAAGCTACCACTGAAGCCTTGAAGCTGGGCTCTTCACCTGTGGCTCTCCTCTTCCAGGCCTTGCTCCAATTTGTTACCAAGATGGCTGCCAGGTAGGCATCATGCTATTTTTTCCCCTTAAAAAAAGAGCTTGGGGCTCAGGAAGCTCTCTGAACCCCTGGAGTGACTACATAGAGAGAGGCTCCGTGGAACTGTAATAGCTTAAGAGCTCATATGGTCAAGTATCAAACACCCTCTGCCTCCCCTTGCAATTCCCAAGAGGCCCTTCACTATTTATCTATTTGATCTGTAGCACTCTCCCATAAGCATAAGTACTGAACGGCAGCATTGC